TCTCTCTCTCTCTCTCTCCACACACACACACACACACACACACACACACACACACACACACACACACACACACACTCTCTCTCTCTCTCTCTCTCTCTCTCTCTCTCTCTCTCTCTGTCTTTTTTCCTTCCTGGCCTTCTCAGCTGTAATCTAAACAGAGGAGACCAAACAAACCTGGACTTTCTAATGTCAATGAATTGTGGTCTAGGAATAAGGCACTTGAAGGAACAGGATCCTCCCCCTATATCATAAGAGAAGGAAATAAAAACCGTTGATAAATCGTCCGCAGCGAATACAATGAATAAGTAGCACAGCAGCCAAGAGAGGGGAGGAGACAGGAGGGAGCTTCCTCCCTCTTCTAACTATTCCATCCTATCTTTTCAGGGCAGCATCAGAGGGAGAGGAGAAAGGAGGAGGAAGACACTGCTGGTCATGTCATGGACTACCATGTTATTTAGCTTAAAACACACATCTCTGAGAAATGACATAAATCTGAGATTTCAGCTTCTTGTTACAGCACCAAGTCTGGTACATGGAAAAGTAAATCTCAAGGGGGGAGAAGGGGCAGGTCAACTGTTAATTTAACGAGACTTTAAAACTGAAGAAAGAGGAACACATTGAACTCTACAAATACACAATGTGTTTGTTCTCTGAACACATAGCTCCACCCAATGGACTGGATCTGAAACCTCATTACCTTAAGGCTCCTGAAATCTTTTCTTTTATGCCATCATTTCAGGTCTCTAAATCCTCTCATTTTTTCTACTGCTATGCTCCCTCCTAGACCCTCTAAGTCACAGGTATTTTGATCTACTTGTGTTAATATTTGTGGCATCTGATCTGATTCTTAGCCACTTTGTTTTCATGTCCAAGGAGGCTAAATTATCAGCAGTGGCCATGTTTGTGATACTGCCTACTTCTCCACCATTGACTGCTGTGCTGGTGATTTGTTTTGCGTTTATGCTGGGTTTTAATTTTCATATTCAAGCTCTTTAGGGCAGAGAGTATGCATTCTTATGTCTTACACCATTTAGCACATATGCAGGTGCTGCTGTAATATGAATAATTATAATAGCCCAAAATCTTGCTTCCTGTGTAAATTGGTCCCCTTACATATAGCTGATAAATTTTAATGGACATCTAGTCTCATGTCATCAATACACGATAGAATTAAAGATCAAATTCTGTCCTTGGCTGAAGTTAATAAGCTTGCAAGGCTACAACGGAGGGCAGAATTGAATCTGATACTTAGGACTGAATAAATGAGAGAAGAAAGAAGGTGAAATCAGAAATGGGATCTTCCAGCTAGTAGGCCCAATAAAGCTAATCAGACATAGAACTAAAATGTTGAAAAATGCTTCATTTTGTGTTGATCAAACCAAAATGTGGTGTTTCAAAGGTTTTTTTTTAAAATGTTTTAAAAGCAAGGGACATCCCAAAGTGAACCGTCTTTCCGAAATAAGACATCAGAACCTTTTCTTTCAGAAATGCAGATACAAACTTCTTCAACTTGTCTGTTTTTTCCCCTTTTTCTGCAGAAAAAGTTCATCAAAATGGACTCAAAATCATGAATTGCTTTGGTCAACCTGAATCTGCATTTTTCTGCAAAAAAGTTTTCAGATTAAAAGTTTTGTCTAGCTCTAATAATGACTTATTTCAGTGAGGTGAAGTGAGTATTATTGATGAGAATAATCAATAATAGGGTTGAGAGGGGGGTAGGGAGTTTGAAGGGTTACTCAGAAAGGGAGGAATGGCTTTATACCTAATGGGAGGCATCTATAACAAAAATAAACTGTTTCATAAAGTGCTTTTAAAATGCAACAGTAGGGGTTGCAAGGCACCCTAACCAGCAACACGAGTGATTATTGTTTTAATAAACATGGACGGGGAATAGGTGAGCTTGTTAAAGCTCAGGAAGCCCCTCTCCTGTGTCATGACCCTTGAAGAGGCCAGGTTCACTGGGATTCTTTGCATTCAGAGAGCATAGAGTCTCTGCACGGCTGCCATCACTATTAGCACTAGCCTTTGTAAAACGGGTGGATCATGTCCTTGACCCACTCCCCCAAATTGGCCAACAGCACTGGCTGGGAACAGAGGGGAGCAGAGATTGCATTGTTTCCAGTGGTGGTGCACTGCTAATGCTGCTTCCGAGGCTCCTGACCTCCTCCCCACTTCCAGCATGGGGCTGATACTATATTCCATAAACCAGTCTGAGGGTTGTGCCGCTGAAATCTGTACAAAAAATGTGTAACAGCAAATGTTAAGCACTTGGCTGCATTGCATGTTTGTGCTATTAGGAAAAACCTTGCTGTTACTGGTTCAATTATTAAATTATGATATAAAACATACAAGGTGTGGAATGTAGCTGAGTTAACAATGCAATTGGAGTCTTAATTGGTGCAATTCTTCTGAAATTGCCCAACCTTAATGTTGCATGAATTCCTTCTTGTATGCATTGGATTTGGGCCCCAAATGTTTGCTGGCAAAATGACAGATGTACTCTCAGTGCCCAGAGACTATGCATATTTTTAAGGTAAAATTATACAGATACCTGTCTCTAAACATTCCATGTATGCCCCAGTGGAATGTTTCTGCCCTGCTGCTGAGTGCACCAGTTGCAGGTGGTTGATTTCAATGACATGTTTATGGTTGACTGACTGGAGCACTAAAGATGTAGGGGCGGTTTGTTTTTGATGGTGGTGTAGCCGTGTTGGTCCCAGGATATAAGAGGGACAAGGTGGGTTAGGTAATATCTTTTATTGGATCAGCTTCTGTTGGTGGAGCGCATAAGGGGAGCATTAGTAGTCAAAGAATGAATGTTGCAAGGTCTTTGATCTTGGACTATTTGTGGGGGAGGAGCTTTTTGTTTTTTAGTATAGCTGTTATAGCTTCAGCCCTTGAGAAATAAGCTGACAATGCCATTCAGTTTGCATTTAATGGCTCCAAGTACTTGCCCTATAAGAAGCATAGTTATAAAAATGTTACTGAAGTTGGGGGGGGGGGGGAAATTACCTTGTTTCGCCTTCACATCCTTGTATTCTTAAAACTGGCTTTTGGTTTTGGAATTATGCAAAATTCAGTATGCGCAAGGTAGGCCTGATTCTCCTTTGACTTAAAGTGGTGATTTGTATTTTTAATTCATGGCAGAATTGCTTAGAGCTAGAGATAGGCACTTTAAAAAATTCTTTATAAATCAAAATAAATAACACCATTGACTTCAGTGGAGTTACTCCTGAGGAAAACATGAATAGATAAGTGTAATTTACCCTTTCCCACAATAGAAAAAACAGGGTTCACCCGATGAAATGAATAGGCATCTGGTTTAATACAAACGAGAGGAAGTACTTTTTCACACAACTAACCTGTTGAACTCATTGCTATGGGATGGTGTATGACCAGAAGTATAACAGGGTTCAAAAAAGAGGCAGATATATTGATGGAGGACAGGTCCATCAATGGCTATTAACCAAGATGGGCAGGGATGCAACCCTATTCTAAGGGCAACTCTAAACCTCTCACTGCCAGAAGCTGGGAGGGGAAGACAGGGGTAGATCATTCCAGCTGCCCTGTTCTGTACACTCCCACTGAAGCTCTGGTACTGGCCACCATCAGAGACCGGATACAAGGCTAGATAGACCATTGGTCTGAGGCAGCTTGGCACTTCTTATGTTCTTATATTCTGAGTAACACTGGTGTGACCAAATTCAGGTTCTGTGGCTTTCTCCTTTTAAGTTATATCACTATAACATTTGGTGGAGATGAGTTGTCTGGGTTTATTTTCAACATACATGTGTTTTGTATTTTTCCAGCAAAAGGCAAGGAATAGAATGTTCATACATTTATAAACTCAAATCAGTCTTGCAGCTCAGTGTAGCTATTTCCTTTTATATTACTGTATGTATGATGAATGACCTTTCCTTACTACAAGTTTTATACAGTGTCTGAATACATAGAGTACAAGATGAATGTATGAGTCTTTTATGACTGGCCCAGTCACCCTTACATGTTATAGTACCAGCTTAAGTGGTAAGGAAGGAAATAAGATTTCTTTTGTCCAGACTCTTAAAATGCAGTAACATCAAGTCTTCAATACTGGTTTAAGAAGCCATGCCCTTCCATTTATTTCACTCACAGCCTCTCACTGTATTTCCAATCACTGTGGGAGTGAAAATCATTATGATTGCTAGGCATATTTCTTGCAGTCCTCTGGAATGGTAAGTGGCTTTTTGGACTTGACCAGAGAATATAGAATATTGTTCTGCACTGAGGAGTCAGTCCTTGATACATGAAGGACACCAGGACTCACAGCTAGGGCTCATTAAAAAATAAATTTATTATAAATTGAAAATTTTAATTTTCAATGATATTTCAAGTTTTCACCAGGGGGACCCGCCCGCCCCCCTTTCCAACCAGGTCTAATCTGACACTTGAAAATGACAGCAAAGTGAAACCACTTTTATTCTGGCTATTCTCTGGATTTCCTATGCCACACATACAATTTAATTGTGTATCAAATGAGTAAACCAAACAGGGTTAGGAGGGACATATTTGACAGTTTTATTTTATTTTCAATATCTTCCTACAGGTACAAAATTCATTTCACTGGGTGTCAAGATAGTATACTATTAGTGACTCATGTAAGAAATTGAATTTCTTTAAGCATACAGATCATTTCTCTCCATGTCTCTCTCAAACTCTGTTATAACAGCAAATCTCTTTATTAACAACATTTTACTTTATAGCTAGGAGTATCTTAATTACTTAACAAATGAGTCTATGGCAGTGTTCAAAAGAGGACTAGATAAGTTCATGGAGGATAAGTCCATCAATGGCTGTTAGCCATTGGGCAGGGATGGTGTCCCTAGCCTCTGTATGCCAGAAGCTGGGAATGGGTGACAGGGGATGCATCACCTGATGATTAACATTCCCTCTGGGGCACCTGGTATTGACTACTGTCAGAAGACAGGATACTGGGCTAGATGGATCTTTGATCTGACCCAGTTTGGCCGTTCTTATGTCTGGGTGTTATGGCCCTGAAGCTTATGTTGAAGCTGAGAATTCCTTCCTTCTAATCCATTGCATTAGTATATTTTCCTCAAAGTCAAAGGCCTTTGCTGAACTTTATCTGACAGAGCCCAAACTGTTCACTTGTTGTATATTCAGCATCAAAGTATATGTTCTGCTTTTAACAATCACATTATCGTACAGAAGAATGCTGGACACAAAGACGAGCCACTCCCACACTGCCAACTGAGCTTCTCTTGAAAAGTTACAATGAACATATTATCCTTTTCTGCTCCAGCCTCTCTAGGAAATGTCTTCTGATCTGATCCTCTCAGCAAAGTTTATTAACTGGCGCAGGCTACGAAGCAGTCATCAGATGGGATGGGTTACAACTTCTGGTCAAGCTTTACTGGACCAGATTTGAATCAGTGACCTAGAATTCAAAGAAATTTTTTTTGCATCGTTTTACCATTCCCCCTGAATTTATCTGTGCAGCTAAGGTTTTACATGTTTTAAATATTTCCGTTCATCCATTCTAAACATTCAGTTCACTTTCAGAAGTGTTATATATACCTGGGAATATATTTTTTTCATATGAAATTCTGTGTACCACAATTGATTGCTATAAGGTTTAAATGCTAATACAGACAAATCATCTAATGAATATATTTCAAATGTGGAGGGGTTCCTTGTACCATTTCATCTTGTAGAGGTTATGGTGATTTCACTGCCACAAGTTACAGTTCAGTCTGAATAAGGCGTAATGCTTTCTTCATGTTCTCTATCACTGGAAGAAGAATAAACCGCAAATTAAAAAAATATTTGAAGTACGTTTCTATCTGAAAATAAAATCTCAATTTATCAAAATGTTTCGCTTGTGAATTAATTGATGTATATTGGGGCACAAAATATATTGTAGATCTTTTATTGTGGGATTTTTGGCACCGTTTACTGAAACCGAGGATGTAGAGTTTCATGGTTCATCACTACTAAGAACTTGACAAGCTCCATTTCATCACTTTTCACTTCCCTTCATTTTTCATATTTTAAAATTGATCCTCAACAGTAAATCTTATAATCATGCTTGAAGAGCTAACATACAAATCAATAGACTTCAGTACATCTAATATTCTATTTGGGGTAAGAAAAAAGCTATGCATTCTGATAGATGCTGTGACATGAAAGGGACAAGGTCAACTTGAAAAATTACTTTTCTGTCTGACAATGAGTAATCCTAGGTTGTACCTAAGTAACTGTAAATTTAAAAAGTTGGTAGAAAAATATTTTCTCAATTTTTTTCCCTAGACTGTTTACTTTGTGCATTTGACAGCCCTTTTGTGGATAGTAATTTTCACTGTGCCAGTTAAACCCTGGTCCTGTAAACTTATGAACGCATGCGTAAATTGACTCAATTGAGTAGTCCTACTAATTTCAGTGGGAGTATTTGTGTACTTAAATGCTTTGCTGGATCAGGACCAGAGTGTTCGACCCCTTGCAAGAATTTCCGTAGGTATTTTTGGGGTGCGGAGCAGGAAGGACAATGAAATGCTGTCTGATCCTCAAGCACAGGTCAATGGGTAGGGTATGTCTCACTGGTCACAGCGTGAAATGCAAAGCATTCACAGTGTGGATACTTACAGAATGGTATGTCTTGGGGTTCGTAAGTATAGAGTCGATTAGAATATCTTCCAGTGATATCAGCTCTTACTGTAAGAGAGGGGTCTGAAAAAGTGGACATATTATACAATTATCCCATTGCATTCTCAGTAACAGCATCTTCAATGTCTACTGGTTGTGAATATGAGGCAGAGTCAACTTAAATATAGTTTTGGAAGATACTAATTTAGAACAAATGGAATAATTACATTCTTTTCCACCCAGAGTTCTTATTACACTATGATGTACTGAACGAGTGACAGATTTATTTTAAATATTATGTATTAATTGTTAAATAGGGATATATGTTATGTTCACCAGTATGTATATTCTATTGCATGTTTAAGGGAAAATATCACAAAAAGAGGCCAGTCCTCTTGAATATATATATTCAGTAGGGCTGTCAAGCAATTTAAAAAGTGATTGCGATTAATCGTGTGATTAAAAAAATTGTCATTAATCTCACAATTAATCGAGTGTTACTAATGGAATACCATTTATTTAAATAATTTTGGATGTTTTTTACATTTTTAAATATATTGATTTCAATTACAACATAGAATACAAACAAGTTTGTTTACATTTGCAGGAGATAATGCTGCCAGCTTCTTGTTTACAATGTCACGTGAAAGTGAGAACAGGTGTTTGCTTGGCACTATTGTAGCCGGCGTTGTAAGATATTTACATGCCAGATGTGCTAAAGATTCATATGTCCCTTCATGCTTCAATCACCATTCCAGAGGACATTGGTCCATGCTGACGATGGGTTCCGCTCAATAGCGATCCAAAGCAGCACAGACCGACACATGTTCATTTTCATCATCTGAGTCAGATGCCACTAGCAAAGGTTGATTTTCTTTTTTGGTGATTTGCATTCTGTAGTTTCCACATTGGAGTGTTGCTCTTTTAAGACTTCTGAAAGCATGCTCCATACCTTGTTCCTCTCAGATTTTGGAAGGCACTTCAGATTCTTAAACCTTGGGTCGAGTGCTGTACCTATCCTTAGAAATCTCACATTGATACCTTCCTTGCATTTTCTCAAAGCTGCAGTGAAAGTGTTCTTAAAATGAACACCACATGCTGGGTCATCATCCAAGACTGCTATAACATGAAATATATGGCAGAATGTGGGTAAAACAGAATAGGAGACATACAATTCTCCCCCAAGGAGTTCAGTCACAAATTTTATTAACACATTATTTTTGTAATGAACGTCATCATCATGGAAGCATATCCTCTGGAAAGGTGGCCGAAGCATTAAGGGGCATAGGAATGCTTAGCATATCTGGCACGTAAATACCTTGCAATGCTGGCTACAAAAGTGCCATGCAAAAACCTGTTCTCACTTTCAGGTGATATTGTAAATAAGAAGAGGGCAGCATTATGTCCCATAAATGTAAACAAACTCATTTATCTTAGTGATTGGCTGAATAAGAAGTAGGACTGAGTGGACTTGTAGGCTCTAAAGTTTTACATTGTTTTGTTTTTTAGTGCACTTATGTAACAAAAAAATCTACATTTGTAAGTTCAACTTTCATGATAAAGAGATTGCACTATAGTACTTGTTTGAGGTGAATTGAAAAATACTATTTATTATAACTTTTACAGTCAAAATTCATAATAATAAATAAATATAAGTGAGCACTGTACACTTTGTATTATGTGTTGTAAATGAAATCAGTATATTTGGAAATGTAGAAAAAAAATCCAAAATATTTAATACATTTCAATTGGTATTCTATTGTTTAAAAGTTTGATTAAAACTGTGATTAATAGCGATTAATTTTTTTTTAGTTAGTTGTGTGAGTTAACTGTGATTAATCAACAGCCCTAATATTCAGTATGTAAAACTATGCACATACATTGGGTAAGGCATTCTGGCTCTGAAAGCTCCACATAAATTATATGAATCATGTATTACTGTGATTCTCAGACTTCTACTTTCTGAGGGCCAACTTTTATTATCCTCTCTTTGGCTCACTTCCCTTCTCAAGTTTTCTGACTAAAATTCTTATAACTTGGATTATATGGTCCGATCACCACAGTATCTGAGCGCCTCACAATCTTTAATGCATTCATCCTTCCCAGAAAAGTAGGAAAATACTATTATCCTCATTTTACAATAGGGGAACTCAGCCATAAAAAGACTAAATGATTTGCCCAAGTCACTTAAGGAGTCTATGATGGTGGAGGTATTTGAACCCAGGTCTCCACAGGCAAAGTTAGGGCTATAGCCCGTGCACCATTTTGAGACTTGAAAATGATTCATTCTGAAGACCGCCAAGAAGAACACCTTGGATTCCTGGTGATCTACAGATCAGGGGCTTAACAGCCACACTGAGCTCGTCCATCATTGATCCTACATGATTTCTCTCTCTCTTTGTGACAGTTTAAAAAACAATGAAAATCTCACCTTTGCCATGAAGATACAATTCTGTGTGTTTGTAACTGTCGGTTTATATCCCCCTCATTGGCCCTTTCCTAAAGGAGGCAACTTGTTTGAAAATAATGACTATAGGGACCTGTCAACAATACCCTTCTGTGACGTTGCACTCTATATGATTTTATGAAAGTATGCTGATGAATGCGAATATAATGTAATTAAAATATGCTTCATGCAAAAGGTTTCTTGTAAGGTATCATTACAAAACTTATAATCTATTAAATGTGTTCATCCTATTTGTATGAATGTATCCTTCTTTTATCTGAAACTAGAAATATGAAATATAACGCTGAGGGCCTATTGTAATTATGCAAAATGTGGGCCATTAATGGTGGTTTGGAATCTTGATGGCTCCCATCAACCAGGACAATTGACTGTAAATGGCTCTGTTTTACTTGTAAATCTTCCTGTATATATGTGTGCTGGCAAGTGGGTAATGAAGTCTTACAGTGACATGTGATCATGTCTTCTGAACTGGAATTCATCTTTAACTTGGTGCTTTTCCATTTAGAAGGAGGGGTGGGAACACAGAGAGGGGGGAAAGGATTCCTGCCTTATGCAAAAGATATACAAGTGGGTTGACCAGAACAAAAGGGGCGGTCATCATGAGAAATCCCCTAGCTACCACCTGAGCTGGAACCAGGGCTGTACCAGGGGAAAGGATTGTGCCCAGACTAGGAAGGTGTCCAGTCTGTGAAAGAAACTTATTGAAACATCTCTGAGGGTGAGATTTTATCTGTATTCAGTGTTATTACTGTACTAGGCTTAGACTTGCGTGTTTTTTATTTTATTTGCTTGGTAATTCACTTTGTTCTGTATCGGGGGTAGCCGTGTTAGTCTGTATCCACAAAAACAACAAGGAGTCCGGTGGCACCTTAAAGACTAATATATTTGTTTGGGCATAAGGTTTTGTGGGTAAAAAAACTCACTTCTTCAGATGTGAAGAAGTGAGGTTTTTTACTCACGAAAGCTTATGCCCAAATAAATCTGTTAGTCTTTAAGGTGCCACCGGACTCCTTGTTGTTTTTGTCACTTTGTTCTGTCTGCTATTGCTTGGAACCACTTAAATCCTACTTTCACTTTTTACTTCTTAATTAACCCAGAGTATGTATTAATACCTGGGAGGGGCAAACAGCTCTGCATATCTCTCTATCACTGTTATAGATGGCAAACAATTTGAGTTTACACTGTATAAGCTTTATACAGGGTAAAACGGATTTATTTGGGGTTTGGACCCCACTGGGAGTTGGGCATCTGAGTGTTAAAGACAGGAG